CTTTCATAGGATTTTGTAGGTCAAAATTACGTAATATTCGACCTGTACACTGGACTTGAAACACTATTTAACTTTTTCAACATTTTTTTGGTCAAAAATTAGTAAATTTTTACTTAATTAGGGTAATCCGACTTTGGCTTGGTTAAGATGCCCATCTTTGACTGTTTTAGTGAAAAATTATATCTTGTTAATCTTGAATATCAATATCTTGAAATTAGCTTGTAAGAGAGAGAGGAAAAAATCCGTCACTATTTGCCCTTCCCCTTCTCTTATGTACAATAACAAATTAATTAAAAGGTCGGCTAAATTTTAATCAATAAAAGAACTATATGTATATGGATTATATGTATACTTTGTTGGCTTGCTCTGTCCGTAGAATCGATGCTCGGTATAATACATCAAACCGCCATATTTTACGCCGATTTCGTACATTAATCCAGCTTCCAAATACCCATTTGTTATGTTCCATTCTCCGCCGATCATGATTAGGATAGGACCGTCTTTCTTCAGAAATGCGGAGTTTTCCTTGTAACGCTATACAGCAATCGACTATTGTTAAGTCAAAAAAAAATTTTGTATTAAGTAGAACAAGTTGTGTTAAGTAAAAAAAATGTATTAAGTAGAACAAGCTGTTTGGTGACAAATTTAATAATAATTACCATCGACCAAGTGCGATTGTCCCGATGATTGAAGTGGTCGAGAGGTTGAGTGATCCAACCGTCAACTATACTGTTGTTTGCATTATTTGTTGACTCTGACTCCTTCAAATCGTGAAAAGAAAATCCGTGAAAACCCACCCGGCCGTTGACGAGGGGATGGACCGAACACAGCACAAGCAGTATGTTTAATGCGAACATAATGCCGATTTTCTTTGCGATTGTACAGCAGAGAACGTTCCATTTATCTTTCAAAAGCACGTTAGATACACTTAAATGTGACTGAGGGTCATTTCGACCCTCGGATCTCGGATTAATCGGCCGAATTACTTAATAATTCAATGCTGCAATGTCGCCAACGTAGAAGACACATACACGTTATTGTAGAATAAGACAGAAAGAGTGTTTCCTCATGATTTCATAATTATGATATTTGATCGATCATAGCATTTTATTTAATTTAAATATTCAATACGGATGAAATTATTAATTTTATATTATTTGATGAATACGAGGATTATGATCTTATTGTTGTAAAAAACCGACGAAAATCTAATTTGTATTAACATTTGTGTTGTACAAACTATGTACAGAGGGAATATTAATTAAATTAAGCTTAATATACATATATATGTGTGTATGGATTTCATGTATGTATGCAATTTTTAAATGTTTATTGTCTTGTTTGTAATAAACTTATTTTTTTGCTTTTATTATTATTATATATTTTTAAATTGAATAAAACATACATATATTTATACATACCGATTAATTTTATGTTGTATTTTAAGTTAAATAAATTTTTTCTAATAGCATTATTAAAGCATTATTTTAATATTACAAATCTTTCTTTAAAAAAATTATTATAAAAAATTTTTAGACAATTCATACGTAAGCTTATTAGATTTGATTTTGTCGGTTTTTTCTAACAATAAGATCATAACTTTTGTATTTAAATAATAATAGAAAATTAATAATTTCATTCATACTAAGCTTTTAAAATAAATAAGATGCTATGTTCAATCAAATGTTATAAGAAGATTATAAAGAACCATTTTCTGTCTTATTCTATTATACCAATCTGTGTTTTCTGCACGTTAGCACTGCAACTGAGTTAATCAGCCGATTAAGTTAATCGGAGATGGTTGAAGTGGCCCTGACTATAATACTTGCCATTTTCTTCAATCATGACAAGTGTCAAGTGGTACAATATTTCTCATCAATGATAACGCTGAAATTCATTGTATTATTCTTAAAGAAAACAGCACATAAACAACACTTTGATTTTAATGAACTAAATATTTTTTATTCCCTTTTTATTCATACATATATTCCCTATACGTGTAAAAAGAATATATATATATGGGGCATTTCATGTATAATTGCACACTTTTGTCGTCGATTTTTTTAATTATAATTGTACATCAAGAAATAAGTGACTTTGTGTACTTATAGCTTTTAATAACTGTTTCCATACCTATAAGCATTAAAAAAAATTATAAATAAATGCGAGTTTTGAAGATAAAAATAAAACATAATATATATTGTCATAGTTAATTGTAATTAATTTTAAGTTCAAATAAAATATTTAGAGATTCTAAATATTAATTTTATTTTCAATTCCGTTTAATTTTAATCGAATTTAATATAAAAATATTCTTGTTCTAATTTCTAATTTTTAATTTTTTAAATTAAGAACTTTTGAAACTCGCAAAAAATACGACAAAGTCAATCTTATTATTTAAATGTATCGAATTTTAATATTATTGGTCCTGTAATATGTTGGTCCTGTTTGGTCAAGGAATTTAATCCCTGTGACTCGGCTTTCGGACCTATGCGATTTCCTGTGAAGAAGGGAGGTGAACGTGGGTAAGGTCGCTTAATTAAAATAAAGAGATTTGCAATTAAACATTACAATTAAAACTTAAACGCAAAACTGGCCAATGACAGTCACGAGCGGTTCTTATGGTGCCCAAAGTTTTTGTATTATAACATTAAGTTACATTAATAATATAAAGTATACGAACGTTTCGACTCATTTAGAGTCATCTTCAGCGCAATAATGTCATAACGTGCGAGAGCAATAAATAATCCTCGTTCCTAGTAGGATGAGTCACTGTCGGTTACCTTTTCTGAAGCGGAATCCTTAATATTTAAGAGAGAAACAATCTGGGATTGTTTTTTTTTTCAGCTTGAACTAAAGATGGCTTGATAAAAGCCGAAACGTTCGCAAAAGACTAAATGTAACGGATATTGGAATAAATCAAGAATGTATACGCCCCAAGAACTGTGTGGGACTCTTAACTGCCTGTTTTTACCTATTTAATGTTTAAAATATAATTAGTGTTAGTATTAAATTGAAACTTGACAAACTCTTAGTTCAAACTCTAAGGAATAGCTTAAGCAGCTTTTAATGCTCAAACTTGGATTCTTAAGTAAAAGTTGTATGGAAAGAAAGTGCGTACTCTTGGGCGATCAGATCGGAAGAGCACACG